TCTAGCAGCAATGGTAGCCAGTTTACTCGAGCCAGACCGCAGTAAAGCATTCAGCTACATGTCTGACCCAGCGAACAATCAGCAAGAACTCGTCAATAAGTCTTCCGGTGGGAACCAGCGAGATCCTCAAAAGCCACTGCAAGCGCCAGAGGATAAGAAGATGGTGACTGGTATTCCATTTCCTCCTTCCTTTGCCGGAATCTCACACCCGCCGATGAAGTTTGCGATATGTTACGGAGGATTTATAGCGCCTGGCACCCGGTATAGAGCATTCTATGAACATCCCAAGATTCAGACGCCCGTGTTGCATGTTCTCGGGACTTTGGATATGATAGTTGAAGAAGCAAGGAGCAGGAAATTGATTGAGTCTTGTGCTGGAAACCCTGAATCTGATGGTAGGGTCTTGTGGCATCCTGGTGGCCACTTTTTGCCTAGCCAGAGACCGTATTTGGATGGAGCGGTGCAGTTTATCAGGCTACACATAGAGGGATTAGACGGCAACGGTAAGAAAAATCCGGGCGACGACGATGTTGAGAATATGGACATGCCCTTCTAGACACACTCGCGGCCCCGTTGAACGATGATAAGAGGACCTTGATCTTAGAATATATAGACGATGTGATTATTTAGACAGGACGGGACTAGACCGGACCATTGGCAGTTCCGCTGTATCCTATACATATGCAGGGAACTGGTTAGAATGAAATAGGATCAAGAAAATGAAGTGCAGTTGGACAATGGCTGCTTGTCTATAGGCATCTTATTTGTTGTACATATCAATGCACATTTGCTAACAAACATATCTATCAACGTGCCTTCGACCTTCCAGCCTTGGACGGAAGAATCCTGGCCATCATCTCCTCCTTAGTGATCAAGTGGTCAATTCTCTCCAGCAACCCAAGCAAACTCTTCATGTTACTGCTCCATTCGTTCAGAACGTCATCTGCATCCCGTGGTTTGGCAAAGTTGACAAGTCTGGCCGGGCGATCAATTTTAGCGTAGATTGTCTTCGATGTAACGAGATCACTGATGTATTTCTCCGTCTCCTCTTCGTCTAGGTCGAGAAGCTGAGTTAGTCGGCCCATCTCGATGCGAGTATAGTATTTGGCAATGACACGGACATTGTGTTCAATGACACGCTTCCGGAGGTCTTGCCAGCGTTGGTAGGCCTGGTCGTCCGCTGTGTGGTTAGGTTTGGCACTGAATACATCAGTGCTGCAGAGATGGGGCCCGAATTGTTCTGCAACCATGGGCCAACGCATCAACTCGTTGATTGTGAAGAGTTTGACCAGCCGAGCCTCCACGGGAACAAGAGAATTCCGCGTATCAGCTTGAATACGGTGCAAAAGGTCTGACTGCTCATTGTCGAAAGGTGAAAGGATAACATAGTAGATGACCCGTTGCAAAACCTATAACTTTTGGTTAGTTTATTTGTGACCTAGATAATATCGAAAATCGTAAACTTACTGCACGCAGCTGTTCAGGGTTTTCTTCAACAGACTCGGTATCGAGAACCTGCCGGTAATGTTTGCACACATCGAGGTACTTGCTCTCATGATTTGCAAGGATAATTTGCTGTTCATAGTAAAGAAGCTTCAGATCTGTAACATCCTCTGGCTTCTCCACTGGAGGATCATCAGGGCTACGTTTCTTTTCTTTCTCTTCAGCCTCCTTATTGTCCTTTTCAATTTGTTCGGGAGTCCGTTTGGGTTTCCGGGCGAAGAATTTCGTGGTAATCTTGCGACTCAGGATATTTGCCTGTGTCCAGTCCTTCCTCTTTATGCAAAGAGCAACCTGTTCCAAGATGAACTCCGTCTTCTCTCTTCGGGCCATAGATCCAAAGGTCTCAACCTGTAGCTCGCAAAGTATGTCGGCGGCGGCATCGATATCACCCTGGCTCTTCTTAATATCGGATAAAGCCCGAGTTACCCGCGCTCTCTCAACTTCAACAAAGATCTAACAAGTCCCCGGTTAGTATTCGTCAACACGTGGCCGTCGGAAGAAACACTTACCTTCCCCTCCGTTACTGTCCTTAACGTTTCAATCAAGGCCAATTTAGTCTCCAAATTTGGCGTCTTATCCAAAAATCCCATCACCACCTGGACCATCTTTGTTATCGCCTGTTTGAGCTGGCCATGCTTCTTCGAGAGACCAATGACTTGTTCGTTCAGGAGCTCCCACTCGCGGGCATTTTTGCAGATTGTAACAATGCCCACCAATAGCCTCGAGGTCGAAGGAAGATCAGATGCCTTGAGAACACTTTATTAAATATTGTATTCACAAAATGTGGATTGCAAATCCCGTACCTGTCGTGCTTGTTTCTCTAACACGAGGAGCTTGTCGATAGCGCCTTGAACGTTTGTCTATCAACACCATCCGTTAGTACTACAAATAGTAAGCACGGCGAGATTTTGGCATACCTTCGCAAGTGCTTCAGCCTCGGGGATCTGCTGGTCGACATCCTTCGTGAAGTCCTTCTCAGGCTTGAATAATGTGCCATCCGACATGATGAGTATCGTGCGGACCTGGCTACTCCGACGACTGGATTATTAGATGATGAGTGACAGGTGTGAGGAAACGTAACGAAGAGTGAAGGTTGTCTCCCGCCAGAGTTGAGTAGCAAGGGAATTGAGCGTGGTTGTTGGAAGAGCTCCTTGTCTGCTTGCTTGGTCGTCTGAAGCTGTCGCTTGTTGCTCTCCAGCTTTCGCCTTTCCCAGCGTCAAACCAAACAGGCCTCTATGTCTTGGCATTGATCACATAAGCAAGTGGTTTCATTACTAATAGTGAGCGTTAGACGCGCGCTTATTATTGCCCACTTCCCAAAAGAATCACGCAATCGAGCTGAATGAAAAAATGTACGAGAATGCGAGTATATATAAAGGACTAGGCCATCTAAGTATCTTAAACATTCATCACCTACAGTCCAAAGGCTGTGTGGGTGGCTACATCCATCTATACCTCATCCCCAAACACCGATACCACCCCTGCATCGCTGTGGAGAGGGTTCAGCCGCCATATAGATCACTATCTTGATCTTCATCATTCCCCTCAGAAGCCAGGGTGACAGTTCCTATGTAATTGGAGGGAACATCAAGATCAATTAGGAGGAAGTTTATGGATCATTAGAACACAACCCAAATGCACATCGTTAATCTGAACCATACGGCTCATGGGCAGTACTTTAATTATTAGCCAAGTACAAACATCCAC